ATTAATTTCCAGACAGGAGTTGGAAAAAAATACTGCAGTGATGTCCAGGTTTTCTTCCACCCGCGCTCGCTTTTTATACAAGTGCAACCCTCTGTCTATTTCTGGAACGCGATCAAAACCCTGATGCTATTTTTAGCAGGTACTGGGGAAAAAAATCCACACACAAAGGCATTTCGCTGGAACGCTACGTCCAAAACATTAAATGTGCATCAAGTCTGTCCCCCTACAACACAACCACCCCCAACCATGCACCCCCCTACCCCTGCCTCTTTCTCCACCACCATCCACAGTTGCTTGAGGTGCATCATTGCAGAGAATTTACAAAAAAAAAAACAACCAACAAACCAACGAACCTCAAACCAAAAACAACCCAAACTGACCACCTTCCACGCTGTCCTACTGCACAAACCCCTAATCCATAGTTGTATTCAGTCTGTCTCTGTGCCTCTGCCTGTTGCCTCGCAAGCATTATCGGGTCTGTGTTCTTGCAGTGTCTTTATGAAGTGGGCTTTGGAAAAAACACAGCCATCACCGTGCACCAGTTTGCCATCATGCACAAATGTGGATTTCAGGCAGGGATGCTTTGCCGAGAGACAGAGACGGTTTCATATAGTGAATTGCACCCAGCACAAAGAAGGCTTGTTTTTAAAAAAAAAAAATTCTCTACTCCCCGCCCAGTGCCTTTCCCCCCTTAAAAAAATCCATTGTTTGGTGAATAAAAGATCTATAAATATATATACGGAGAAAAAAAAGGGTGTGTGTGTTTGCGTTCTAGTAATTCACTACGAGGGGGGACTGGGGAAAAAATAGAATCATTAGGGCTTGCAGGCTGCAAGGAGCCAGCCTGAGACTCCTTTGCAAGGCTGCGTCAGTTATCAGCTATTGACGTCACGTTCAGATTCTCCTCTTCACAGGCTCTAGTTCATCATAAAAGATGTCTGTGCTCGGAGCTTTGTGCTTGCAGTAAGGCACTTCAATTCGAGGAAAAGAGTTAATTAGCAAGCCCCATATTTTGTGTTGTGCAGCTCTCTGTACA